CATTCTTCAATTTTACGGAACCAGAATTCACTAACTAAATAAATCTATAAATTTTAAAAATATTCATGACTTGATTTCAATTAATTAATTTGTATTATGCAACACTTTTAAAACCATCTGCATTAAAGATCTTTTCATGTGCCGACCAACACGGATATATTTTTTGTACGTCTTCACATTTCTCAATCTTGTCTGCAGAAAGTACGCATTTTGTAAAGTCTTCTTTTTGCTTATCGGTGAGGTTAGGTACTTTTGACACATCTTTCTCAATTTCTTCAACGTTGATTTTACCTTCAGCGTCGATTTCACCATTTTGAAACAGGAGGCATTTCAAAAAGCACATAACTTCGGTTGTGTTCTTTGGTGGATGGACAGCAATCTCCTCTTTTGTTATTTTGGCTTCAGCCAAACACTCTGTTACTCCTTTTCCTTCTGAGGGAATTGCTGATGCTGTATTGATCTAAAAACCTCAAATAATTTGTTTATTTTATCAGCAGCAGTTCTATAGAACATATTTTGGATCAGCCTTGATGATTTTATAATTTGGATGTGAAAATAAATACGTGGTTGAAGAATAGAACAGAACTATACCCACCAGAACATCAGAGGAGTTGCAAAATAGTGGAGAAAGTAAAATAGCTTAATAGTCGGACATGCGAACCAAAAGAATCGTGTGCATGTGTGCACTCACGTTCTCGGAACAGCTTAGCAGTAAATTTTTATTTCACGTCATGGATGAGTGACTTTATAGAAGATGCCCACCATGATAACCATCTAACACTTGGAGGGAATGAAAATAAATTAATAAACGTGAATGTTAGTAAGACCTCCAATGATCTGGTAAAATAAGGGGAGAGAACTGCAGTACCGCTACGCTTCAGACCGTAATAGTGCTGGTACGAAGGGAAAAAAAAAGAGGTCAAGCAGGAGCAACTTAGATTAAAAAGGCGTAGAACAGTGCAAAGTATGGATGATCAAATATATTTGATTGACTTGGCTTATAGGAAATTTTTTATATATTTATTAATAAACTTGCGACTTTTCCATTTAAATTTTAAGGAATAATTTGGCAATGATATTTAAGCACAAGTACGCATAATTAAAAATTTGTTTACACTCTGTTTGGACTGATCTATGAATCACCTGAGGTGATTATAAAAATTATTTTGATAAAAGTATATATGAAACTTACCAAAATGAAAATTAGGTTAGTTTTCTTAAGGGAACATTATTTGTTGTGAAAAGGAGAAGGAATTTTCGATAATTATTAATCGCTCGAGTTGTATTTGTTAAATAAATAAAATAATGACAATACAAAAAACAAGGTAATATGAGAATTTTATCAAAATAATACAGATACACAAACTCAGATGGAGACTTTTGTTTTTATTTTGGATTATTATCACTATGACTATGTCATGATAACGTTGTGATGACGTCATCCAATTTTTTTAAGTAGAAACGGATAAACGATTGCAGTAATCAGTTTTAACAAATTGCCATTAGAAGTACTTTTATTGATAACTGTTCATATTTTCAGTTCTTCATTTGTTAATAACTTATTTCTGTTGGGTGGACAAATGAAAATAAGGTCTGGATAGAGGAAAATAATATGTGGACAAACGATCGCCGTATTTAATTCTTATGAAATGTATTAAGGTTTTCCAAAACACCATGTGCATTTTTTTTTAATACCTTGGTTTTGGACAAACGAAACTTTTGGTTAGACAAACGTGGACAATAGAATGTCACTTTGAAATTATCAAAAAGTTTTTATTGCGGTCCTAATGTGAAATTTAGCTTAAATTTTTAATTTTGCAGTAACTTTTTGTCTTGGAAAATGAAAATTTTTGTTGGACAAACGAATGCCAACTTATTTTTATAAAAATTCTTATTTGACGAACCTAGATAATTTGAGATTTCCAACCCAAATATTCACACAAAATGTTTTGATAAATTAACAATAGAAAATATTTCCATAAATTGCAGATATTTTTCGACACCTTGAAACCATCTAGCATTCCTAACCCACGCAAAAGTGTCAGGCAATTATTGATTGTGGATTACAATATCATCCAGTTGAACATATTACAAAAATCAGCCTTCTTACATTTTTGTCCGACATGTTTTGGTACTTTGAGACCTTTCATCTACCAAAGTCCCCGTAGTCAAGGTTTACAACGCCTAAACATTATTATCTGCTATAATGTGCACACACATAAATAATCTTAACCTTCATATTATAACGTAGGTGTGGTGGTCACTGGATCTTAGTCTATAATGCATCCTTATAAACTAAAGTTTAATAATGACAATAAAAAGTGATCCACAAAAAATATCTAAAATAATGTCAAATTGGCCACAACCTACAAAGACAAATATACGAATCATGTCCGTAATAACTATGTACCTACGGCTCTGAATTAAATCCAAATTGACACTTGTGATTTTTCCGAGGCCTCCTTTAGAATCTTTTTCGTGGATCAATCCTTATTACTCAAGGATATATAATTTTTTTACAAATATTTTATACTTACACAAAAAAATAATAGAATCACACAAGCAAATTTTAGTGATTGTTCCATATTTTTGTTTTAGTTAAATTTTTTAACTTTGGAAGTCGACGTACGAAATAAATTGTATGAAATGTCAAATAAAAAATTTGATTTTATATGATAAAATGTATTACTAAATCACTGACTAAATCACTGTAAGAATAATTGGTGTGGCTTCCTGCGTAGGTAGGTATTATATTTTAGCAAAATAGTTAACGAAATATACATCCGAACTGGAACAAAACTTAAACAGACCAATTGTTAAACTGTATAGGGTGATATCACTAAAAGCTGCAAAATAATCGATTATAAATAGAAAATATAATCCGTTTAGTTTCTATTTTATTTCCAGTGAGCTATAAAAGTCAAAATTCGCTCCCTTTGTATATGTATATAGTAATAGTGACACTGTAGAAGTTCTTGTTCGCAAACAGCCAACCAAAAATGTAACGTTGCCAGGTCGCTTTCAATTACTGAGGCCCTTCCTATTTTGCTTATCCCATTTTTTTAAACTTTTTTTCACGTTTCCGATTCTGGGTTCGAAAATGCAAACAAAAAATTCATCTGGTCGTCTGTCGTCTGAACGAAAGTTCTGATTGACTTGCGGTTTTGATTTTCTTGAATAATTGCTTCTAACTTGAAGTTTCAGAATTTTCGGTTCATCCTAACTATTTTAATATTAAAAACTTCTTAAAATCTGCCCATGCATTTCTTATGTGAGTTATTTTTCGAATTCCAATCAATTCTAACGTCTAACATTCCTAAAATCTCTAACATTTCATACATTCCAAACATTCATTAGAATTTAAAATTATATCTATCATGCTATGTCAATACAAGTTAGCGCGGTGTTATCAAGTGTCCAATTAAAATCAACAAAAAATATTATTTTTGACATACAGCAAAGTTAAAAGAGTACTAACAACAAGAGGATAGCTGAATTTGTTCAATGTGTGCTGGGTTAACTGTGACGTCACTCGGTGGATACTTTTAAGACATTTATTTATAAGTTTACCACAACATACTTGGTTACAGTATTGTGGTTACTGTAGTGACGTCACACATACCGTGGCAACCTTTTATATGTCATATGTCAAATTTAATTTAAGTTTGGGGATTTCTAAACGAAATTTGAGGTCAAATTTCGTTTAGCCGAAATCAGTTACGTAAAAGTTGTTGCCATGGCAACCGTTGCCATGGTAACCAGTAAACACAAATCCAAATCTCGTGGTGAGGAAATGCATAGTTGCCAAGTTATAGATCATCTAATGTTCACTTTATTTTAGATAAAATCAGTTATGGTGAAACTGTTGCGATGGGAACCTTGACATAGTAATGACTAAACAGGAAGCCAAATCCCATGGTGAGGAAATGCGTGGTTGTCAAGTTATAGATGAGTTAATTAAGCTGTAATCAGTTACGGAGAAACTGTTGTCATAGAGACACTTGTCATGGTAACGCCTAAACAGAAACTCAGTTCCCGTGGTAAATAAATGCATAGTTGGCAAGTTACAGGTCATTTAATTTTCACTTTAGTGTAGCTGAAGTAGGTTACGGAGAAACCGTTGCCATAGGAACACTTGTCGGGATGGAGACTAAACAAATACCTAAATCCGGTGATGAGAAAAACTCCTAACATAATATCTCAATCTAAACTAAAGTGAAAATAAAACCATCTATAACTTGGCAACCAGGCATTTTCTCACTATGGGATTTGTTTAGTCGTTAGCATGACAAGCGTTTCTATGGCAACAGTTTCTTCATAAGATTACGCTACGCTCCTACCAACCACCTCCAAACCACTACAGAGGAGAGCCATTAAAGCAAACGCGCCTAGCCCACGTGCCTTTTTTCCACCCACATTATAAGATCACGCTACGCTCCTTCCACCCACCTCCTAACCAGTACAAAATTTAAACTTGGGACCAAGGTCAGGAGAAGGGTTTATCAAGGTATATAAGTCTTTCATCTTTTAGGAAACGTTTAATTCTGAATTTGTATGTGCAGAAAGTAATGGCAATAAAATTATAAATTATACATGTTTTATCAGTGCTTCGGCATGCTTATATACAATATACTAATATAAAATTTAAGTTGCATTCATAATAGGAATAACGGGGGCTTGTTGGGCTAACGAGATGTATTTCTTAAAAATTAATAATATACAAGACCTTGGATCAACTATTTTAATAAGCATTAGACGATAAAAATCTAATGATTAACGTTTTTCTTCATATATTACAATTATGTATTTATTTTTTAAAGTCTTTAATAATAGGGATAATGGAAGCTTGTTCGGCTAATGAGATGCATTGCATGAAAATTAGTGATTTACAAGACCGATTAGCTTATTTAGTAAATTTTCCCAAAACCAAAACAAAAACAACTTGAAAATTTTTAATTACCAATAATTTTTAAAAAATATGTAGTCGTCCAACGATAAATGCATTGCCCAAAGAATTGGTAACAATAAATTTATCAAACTGAAAAAAGATGCGCTGCCGCTTTTTTTAAACCATTTTAAATTTTTATAAGTAACAATGGTTGCAAATATTTTTACATGAACAGATCTAAGGGAGTAAAGGAATCATATAATTTTACATGGACATATTTAAAAGAGACCAAATATTTTTAGATAAATAGGCGAAGTAAGGTGTCCAAATATTTTACATGAGCTGGCTTAAGATGTAAAGGGGCCAATTATTATTGGATAAATTGCTCAAACAAGTTTGTAAACCCTAATCAAAAAGCGATATAGAATGGTTTTAAAAATCATGACATGACATGGTTTGACCTAAAAAATGCCAATGCTTCACAAATCAGAAAATTCAATGTCTTAATAGTACTATCAGCTTTCGATCTTCCGTTCTAAGTCAAATCATTTTTACGCTACGAGTTTACTTTTGTGGGCCTCAGTCCCGTAAAGAGGAAACCACCATTTTAGCGTCTCTCGGAATTTTTTTTAGATATTTACTTATTTTAAACATTTATATTGGTGAATCTCAAAAATATGTGTAATTCTTTATAAACCAGACAAGATAAATGCACTTTTCTTCGATTGAACATATTCACCTATCACAGCTCTAATAATTTTGCTGCACCTACCAAATATAAATTCTACAAAAAAAGTTTTATACAATAGCTCCCTTGCAAATAAAACATGTAGTTAAATGCGATTAGATGGAAGAATGACTTTCTTCAACTCCTAATAAGTCGTCCTCGTTGTTCCTACATTCTTCTTTTTAGCATATCCCATAGAGCATACATTATTTTAGAAGTATTTCAGAAATATTTAAAACGTTTCAAACATACCATTTCAAATACAAGTTTTTGAAATATTTCTGAAATATATAATAGTTAAATATTTCACTGAAAATGTTTCTGAAACATGTTATAAATGTTACATAAAAGGACTGTTACGGAAATTTTTGAAACTAAAAAAAAAAAAACCTAAAAAAGAGATCTTCCCATAACTCTTCCTTTAGTTGTGCCCAAAACTTAAACAAAATCTTCCATAATTCTTAAAACAAAAAACAATTTTTAAACCTAAAAATTATTTAAATGGCGGTGGGCCCTCCTTTTCTGCCTTTTATTGGGATTACCTTTCCCTCTTCTATAAGTCTATTTTTATGTATGAGAGAGTAATAAAACAGCACTTCTAATGCAAAACTTAGTACGGTCATTTTAAATATTTTTACAGAGTAATCTCAATATTTCCTAAAATTGTAAGAAATGTACCTGAGCTATTACAAGTTTTGGGTCTTTTATTGGTCCTTTATAAACATAAGCTGTACAGAACAATAGAAAAAGGTTTGGACAGGCCAAAATCCCTGTGTATTAAAGATTACATAGCCGTTTATTTTCAATAAGTACCTATTTGCCAATTTTGTTTTATTTTAATTCCAAGAATTTCTTACAGTAATCGAATTATAAGTAGATAAATACCTTCCCAATAAATTTCACCGAAAATGCGATTATAGGTTTTCCATTTAGTAAGGAGGTCGAAGTTGTGTATTCTTGACAGTTTACTAAATGTCGTTTAGTTGCAACTTGCAAGGTGCAGTGTGAATTCTAGTGTGATCATGGAAAATTTGGAAGGGCCGCGTAAACGACAAAAAATCGGGCCTTTAACAGTTAATGAAAAAACATTAATATTTAATTGTTTTAAATCATTTACAGACAAACATTTATGTAAAAGTGTTGATGACACAGTGGAATTAGTTAGTAGTACGCTTGGTGTTGGGAAATCTACGATTTAGAGTTGTTAAAGAAGAGAAATGTGGCGAGTTTCAAACAGCACGTAAAGCTCCAAGAATACCAAAATTTCAATTAGAAAATCTTTTGAAAGAAAGACTTCGAAGGAAAGTGCATGCGTTCTTCTTTAGAAAAGAATTTCCGACAGTAGACAAAGTTCTTGCCACGGTTCGAGATGATAAGGATTACCCTGAAATGAGTCGAAGCACACTATGGAAACTTTTAAAAGAAATAGGTTTTCTATGGAAAAAGCATTCCAGAAAGTCTATTTTAATAGAAAGAAGCGATATTGTAGTATGGAGAAGAAATTACCTAAGGACTATAAAAGAAATGAGAAGCCAAAGAAGAAATATATTTTATTTAGATGAAACATGGATCAACGAGGGACATAAACAAAATAAATTTTGGCAAGATGAAACTGTTACAAGTCGAAGACAGGCTTTTTTAAATAATTTATCTACTGGTTTAAATCCACCATCAGGAAAGGGGCGCAGACTAATAATAGTACACATCGGTAGTTCAAACGGTTTTGTTAAAAGTAGTTTATTGACTTTTGAATCTACTCGTACCGGTGACTACCATGAGGACATGAATGCTGATGTCTTTAAAGAGTGGTTCGAACAAATTGTAGATCTTCTTCCTCAGAACTGTATAATAGTAATGTATAATGCAAGTTATAACTCGAGACTTATAGAAAAAATGCCCACAACCAAGTGGTTAAAAAAAGGTTTACAGAATTGTCTAAATTCAAAGAATATTAAGTTCCATCCCGGTTCTGTGAGAAAAGAACTGTATCATTTGTGTTCCCTTCATAAAGAGAATTTCAAA